TTTCTGGTTTCTTTACTCCTCTATGACAGCAAACTGAATATGTTTGACATTTGAGGTCATCATATTGGGCTCTGAGAAACATTGACATTTTTCACCATTTTCTGACATTTTCTGGACCAAACAACTAATCAGATAATCGAGAAAATTGTTAGTTGCAGCCCTATTTTGTGTTACTCTCATGTATAAGTATGATTACTTAAAACATTTATATTGATTCTGACCTACCAGGATGGTGGCGGGGATATTACCAATGAAGTGATGAAGATTGTAACCAGAGGTGCCACAACGTCTGATCCAGCCAGCGCAAGAATCATACTTGAAGGAACAGAAGTCCTAGCAGACCTGGATGTACCCAGAGCCTGTGCCTTGCTAATGGGGCTGATATATGCACTCAACCTCAGCTACCCAAAAGAACTGAAAAACACTTTTGAAGTGTTTCAAAAGATATTCCTCGAGCTGGATGATCTGAAAGCCAGTCCAAAGGTAATGTCACTAAAAAGTAAACTGTTGTACTAAAAAATGTGAAGAGTGAGGCTATCCTCAAATTAAACGGGAAATGTTCCACTGTTGTTTGCAATGTGTTGTGTTACATACTGTACAGTAGGCAGTAGGTGTAAAGTTGAGCGTTGAGCATTAAGTACACCTAGTTCAAAATAATGCACTTTAAAAGGATAGCTCGGGTCTTTTGAAGTGAGGCTGTATGAGGTACATATGTATAGTGAGTGTATTACACACAGTAGATGGCAGTCAGTAAGCTCCACCTACGGAGAAGCAGACGGGGCCACCGGCACGCAAGATGAGCCTCCATCCTAATAAAACTGATGTCAGTTTAAATGTACATTATATCAAGAATATGTTTACTGCTTTATTTTGCTATCAGACAGCCTTTTCTGTGAGGAAAGAGAAGTTCTACTGCTTGTTGTTTCAATCGCTCTGGCCCACCAGCGTCCATGGACAAAAACAGCAATTTTACCTGACAGCACACAGGAGTTGCTGGTCTCCTGCTGCCTTGATCAGTAAGTGTAATTGTGTTATTTGGTGACTTTGGTGTTAGTTCGGGTTAGTTCAGATTTACCAAAGTCACACAAACAAACTGAGCCTATCATGCGTGTCGGTGGCAGGAATGTGCTGACTGCTGTCTACTGTGTGTAATACACTCACAATGTACTTCATACTTAAAAAAACCTAAACTATCACTTTTAACACAAACAAACTTGAATCAGAGCATGACTGTCAAAATGTTCAGTCTTTTTGAGACAGATTTACAGGGGTGTTTTATGTCATTTATTTTATGGAGGCAACAATTTTGTCTGCTATTGAAATGTCAATGAGTCTGGAATGGTGGACTGGTGTTCTAATAAACAGTTTGATCATAAAACTGGAATTTCAATGTGTAATTTATTGTATAATTGTAAGTTATAAGTTATTGTAAGTTATTAGTACTCAAAAAAATTAAGGTAACAATTTGCATGGATATTTCTGAGTAGAATAAAAGTAAAAAAATAAGTTTTAATAACTAAATGGAGTAATTTTTAAACAATTAAAATTAAGTTGGTTCAACTTAATTAAGCTTGTAGAGGACAAAGCAAATCATGTTGTTTGTACGTAAGGAATAGAGTTTGCCTAACTAGAGAACTCTTGTGGCATTTACGCTATAGTGGCTAAGCTGAAGTAACTTAAAAAGATCCATGCAAATTGTTACCTTAATTTTTTTACGTTAAGCCAGCAGATCTTTTTTTAGAGTGAAAGCACGCTACCCTGAAGCCTCACTCCAGACACTGAACATGCCTTCTGGGATACAATTTTGATGACCTTTTTTCTTTTGTTACAATGCCTATCATTCAACTTGAATTTCATTTACAGGAAAACTACAAAGTCACAGTAAGCCAAATCTGGCATCTAGAGTTGGCATTAAGCAACAACTGTTTTGGTCTAGCTAAAAAGACTTTAATTTGCTTTAAGCAGGCACACAATGGCATACACGACAGCTCAGGGTCATCTTTGCGAATTGTTCTCTGTTAGTTTCCTCGGAACATTACAGTCGAAGTCCAAGTTAACATGCTGATCTTGGGGGATGAATTTATAAATACACAACCCCAAAAATGCAGGAAAAACATGCTTTCGAGATTTGCTTACAGTACAATTCTGTGTAGATAATTTCCTCAAGGACTATTTAAATATTCTGATTCTCACTCTTATAGTATACAGTGCTACCCACCAACAATAGCTCTAATTCTGTGGCATGGATGGAAGAGCGGAGCTCTCATTACTACTTCTCAATACCCACTTCAAGGATGAAAAGAAAGTAACACAGTTCAAAACAATACAGCTGATTATTAATATGATTGGAAGCAGTAATTATTTATAAACTGTTTTATATCCTCAAAATATATAGATTCAAGTGACACTAAGATTAGTGTCATCTATCGATCTATCGATCGATATATAGATAGCGATATATAGATATCTATATATACGTATATACATGTATATGTATGTGTATTTGTTTATTTGTGTATATGTATATATATATATATATATATACGTATACGTATATATTAGGGGTGCAACGATATTCGTATCGATATTAGGGTGTATGTGTATATGTGTATATGTATATATTATAATATATATATGTATATATTAGGGGTGCAACGATATTCGTATCGATATTGAACCGTTCGATACAGTGCTTTCGGTTCGGTACGCATATGTATCGAACAATACAATTTTTAAAATAATTTTTTTTAATTTTTTTTTTTTTTTTTTTTTTTGTGTCCCGTTTGGATCTATAGCCATCAGAATTGTTGTCTTGAGGCCAAGAAAGATGCCAAGAGGATTTATTTTAAGTGGATCATCATATTGGTCCATTTGATTGACCTTTATTATAATTATGAATTTATTTTATTTTCAGTTGCAAACGGGACAGACATGACTGTGGGATAGGACAGGGGGAAAGAATGAAAGAAAGAGGGGGAGAGAAAGAAAGAAAACCAAAGGGGAGAAAAAAAAAGAATACAAAATTTGTAATTTATTTTATCAACTTTCCTTCTGACGATGCTGTCTGTGTTGGAGCGACTCAGTGGATCTGCATTGCTACCGCAGGCAGAGTGCAGCCTAGGCGGAGTAGTCGAACGCAGATTCACTGAGCCTCAACACAGCACATCGTCAGAAGGAAGAGCGCAGGGCAAGCTAGCGAGACAGAAGTGGACCTCCCCACCCTCATTCAGATCTGGCGTTTGGAATTATTTTGGTTTTCATGTGACGTATGACCCTGAAGGTAAGCGAGTCATGGACTAAAGTAAAACAGTATGTTGGATGTGCCATGCAATGCTCAATTACATGGGTGGGAGCTAGTGTGTTAGCGCAGTTAGCTCGTTAACGTGTTGGCCGTCTAGCCCCTCTGTATAGGGTAGCTCGTTAACGGAGATTTGCCGTGTTGTGGCGTTAAGGTTATTTCAACGAGATTAACGCTGACAGCACTAGTGGGAACACAACGAATATGACTGCACATTTACACCGACATCATCCTAGTGCAAAGACAAAAACAACAAGCATGCATGCTACAAACTTTAGCCGAGTCATTTAGACAGCTGTTAGCACAGGATTCTCCTTATGGAGACCTGATATGTTTAATATGCTGCTGAGAATATAGCCCAGAAGAAGCGGATAGTATAGCTTTTATTTTGGAAAGAGACATTTCTCTGTAATAAACTCTCTTTTCCAAAGATGAGTGATTCCTCAATCAGATACAGGGCTCGCAATATCGCTAGCCCGGGGCTAGCGATTTTTTTCAGTCGGGCTACCAAAATCTATCTCTTCCCTGCCTGTCGGGCTATTGTAGGAAGGAAAAATATATGTCAATGCTTTTGCATTCTTTCAGAAATGTAGCTGGGTAATTATGTCATTGGGTGAGCCACTGTCAATATGTGACATATTGAAATCGTGTTTGGATTTGCGCTTGTTTTTTTGCTTTCACTTTGCAATCGCGCGAACTGTGTATAGAGAGCGACAGCACTGATCTGTGAGTGATGATAATTTGTGCACCAATTCCTCTGACATCGTCTTATTAATTGTTAGCTTACTATGCAAACATGACAAGTGAAATCTCCCGCAGCTTAAACATGTGAGAGGTTGATCGCGCAGAGAATCGCTGAGCTTATGTGAGTGCGGCAGGATATATATTTCACTACGATGACCTGGATGATTGAGAACCTTCACAGACAGATATATATTTTAGTTCTGCTGAGCCAAATAAGACAGGTCAGGGTGAAGAAGTGACAGCCAAAGAAAAGCTTACCACAAAACGGAGAAGTTATGACAAATCAGACTATAAGGCAAAAAGAAAGTGCAGCTTTATGGTTTCATGGACAAAAGAATTTCTGTGGCTGCAATATGACGAGCTAAAAAACAACACGCACAAGGGTTAGGGTTAAATTTAAAAACTGTACTTTTGTGTTAAAATATATATTTATAATTTTAATAAATGACAAATTAAAAAGGCATGAACATTTTTTTTGTATCGAAAAAATATCGAACCGTGACACCAAAGTATCGAACCGAAACCGTGAATTTGTGTATACCCTGATATGTTTAATATGCTGCTGAGAATATAGCCCAGAAGAAGCGTATAGTATAGCTTTTATTTTGGAAAGAGCCATTTCTCTGTAATAAACTCTCTTTTCCAAAGATGAGTGATTCCTCAATCAGATATTTATTTTTTAATTACTTTTGTTTCAGCAACATTAAATTTAAAAACTGTACTTTTGAGTTAAAATATATATTTATAATTTTAATAAATGACAAATTAAAAAGGCATGAACATTTTTTTTGTATCGAAAAAATATCGAACCGTGACACCAAAGTATCCTCTGTTAATAAATATAAATATATATATATATATCACATATAATTGTATATATATATATATGTATTATATATATTGACTTTGTGTTATTATATATATGCGTATATATATATGAGTCCTCGTCTGATTAAGGGTTAAATTCAAACCCAGCACGTTCAAAGTTAACCAGATCTTTCATCCCCATTCTTCAGTCGGTTTAAATGCATAGAGTTGCTGCCATTTGACTGATTGACTGGGGGAAAAAAAAATTAGTCTGCACATGTTTTCAACTGTCTGGGAGCTTGCTCTGTTCCTTAAGGGGCTGAAATGCAGGAGGATCATGCAAAAGCACAGCTTCTGTGGGGAAAAATCCACTCTCAACCTGAGCATTTGAAGCTTATCTGCTCAGAACAAAGTTGCACAAATCTTTTTGGTGGTGCAGCATTTTTAAACAAGATGACCTTCTGAAAAGTAAAGGTTCTGTTTTTGCTAAGGATATCACAGTGACGTTGCTGTGTTAGGGATTCCTGTCAAGAACATTTAGGCTTGTTTATAAAATGACCTCATTGGTTTTAAAGATAAAGATGCAGTAGCTGATGAGAAATTATCAACACACTGCCTGCTTCAGTGAGTTGCTTTCTATATAATTAAAGATAACTGTGCTGTGTTTTAATTTATTACTCTTGATGTGCTTTAAAAGCTAAGCGTAGGGCATAAAATCCTATGAAGATGCACTTTATTTACACTTCATTTCTCAATATAAAAGAGCAGAAGTAATCAGGCAGTTTTCACCACAAGTATTTTATAGACCCTGCATACCACATTATTTATCTATCTATTGGATACAGAGGACCAATATATGTCTAGAAACAGAGCATTACTGGAAACCAGTATAATAACTAATCACTTGTGATGCCTAAATAGGATCAAGTGATTAAAATATAGCATTGAGAAGCTAATAAATAACAAATTGTATTTCTATTTTCAGTGACCTATAGTTTAATCGAGCTTTATAAGACTGCATGCATCATGTATGCATTTAAAGTACCCTTTGAACTACCAAAAGTGCAGTATGTACAGGCTCAAGACACAGAAATGTTTTCTTTACAAGCAAACATACACCCACTTTGCATCACACCCTGCTGGTTCCGTACTCGTTCGACAGGTTTTCTCGTCAGCACAAACAACGCCACACCCTCGCAGTTCTCTCACCTCCACTGTCCAGGTGCAGGGATCACAGAGAGGGGTGGGGGAGGCAAAGGGGAGGAAGGAGGAGGGTCATTATCCCCTTTGAGGGTGGAGCAAAAGGGGAGGCGAAGAAAGCGGATGAAGCATTTGAAGCTCATATTGACATGTGGCTCTGTAGGCTCCTGTGTGCACAGGTAAGAACGAATGAACTTCGTGGTAGATTGATACTATCTGGTGCTTGTAGTGTAGATTTCCACCTGTAACCGTGTGGTAGAGGTGGCGGGAGTGTTTACACAGGTTAAACCAGTTTCATTGCCAGGAAGTGGACATGCTGGCAGTCAGGTCACAGCAAAGTTTACTGTACATTTGCACCTGTTCACATTACTGAATGTGAACTGCATTTATTACTATTTATTTATTATCTTGCCTTTGAAAGACATAATTTTGGAAAAAATGTAAATAGAATTTATATTTACCCGACATGACATGAACCTATTCCTAGAATTTTCTTTTCGGTCATTTGCAAACAGCCTTCAGTTCCAGGGTTCAGTGTTAATGTAAACAACTAAATATTGACTGTGAAGCATGCTGGCAGTTGAATGACCAGAATGACCATGTAAAACATAGATATGACTTTGCAAGATGTTCCAGAAATGTTTGTATTTGTCAGCCCTGAATTCTTCCACCCTGAGACAAGAAGCCATTTTAATATGTTAACCCTGTTTTTTTTCAGCCATGGATGGTGTGTTGGAAGGCGCGGCTGTGTTGTGTGCATGTAAACTGGCCTGCAGTCTACTCTTCCTGCCGTCATTGGCCGACTCCTACAGTGCTGTCAGTTTCTGCTGCTGCTGCCTCCTCGTCTTCACAGACTTCCTGGTCACAGGTGAGGGCTTGATTAGGACACTGCAGGATTCTAACCAGTGTTTCCAGTTCCCCCACAGCCCTCTTATACAAACTGAATCACTTGAATTAGTTTAAAATATCAGAAGGTGTTTCCAACAACCTGTATGTTCAAGTTTCCAAATAATTTTTCTTTTTTAAGATTAACCTTACCTCACAGCAGAATCTTGGTTTTACTGACCTCCAGTGGCTTAAGCACTCACCATGCAATGGTGATTTGCAGGCGTTACCCGAGGCCTGTGACATCATTGCTGGGCGTGGCTATAGGTGCAGCAAATAATGAATCAAATAGAATAATGATGCCTCGATGGCCTTACAGAAATAGTGAATTTGTTGATCCAGTACACGCTCTGTAATAAATGCACTGCAGACACAACAGAAAGGAGATGCTGTGAAACGTCACACGTTTTATTTATTGCCAGTGGCTGAGATGTGGCAGTATGTAGCCACAGGCTTTGATCACAGCTGCAGCTGCTCTGCCTGGGATCTGCTGGCTGAGGATGTGATTAATGCTCAGGCTTTAGCAGCATTTGCTGTTGAATCTGCGGACTGTGGATGTGTGCCTCTGTCGATGGAGGAAAACATTTCTGTGAGGTTTCTGATTAAACTGTTAGAGTGTGAGGACTGAAGGAGCATTTTGAAGCAAAGCATGTTTTGCCCTCCCTACGCTTCAAAAGGCTGGAGTCAGCAGGAGCCATGAGAAGTTACTGTTTTTCTACATCACAAAAAATGAAACAAAAGTTGGAAAGGTTTGCTTTAAACTTACTTTCAATACATTTGTTTACTGTTGAACTTTTTAAATCTTAAAGTCATGTAACACTTGACAAAGTCAATGAGTATATATGCTCCTAAATGTTTCAGCAGGGTCTCAATTCATAGATTAACAGCACTTCATAAATACTGAGTTTTCTTATATTTCAAAAATATTTCAAAATCCATGGTCCAATCAAATCTGAAAACCTGCCTTATATCCTTCTGCAAGAGGTCTAAACTCTGACAGGTGATGACTTTTGTACTTTTATTGTCTATAATTTGCTTTTATTGAACATGGAAAAAAGAAACTCTGTATCTATTAAGAAATGCAGCTGGTGTTTCTTAACAGAGACATGTTACAACTCATTCTTTTTAGTTCAAAGAGATCTCGGGTAAATACGAGCAGTGGTTTCACAACTCCGACCTGAGTCGGTCTAATCAGCTTTAAGAACCAAAATGCCTGGTAAATTAATTGGGAGCCTGTTTAATCTAATTTATAATAACCTCATCTATAATAAATGTTTATATTAATAAGGTGAATAGACATCAAAGCAGCAATATCTACCAAACAAACTTGAGAAGAATAAAGAAGTATGAATTTAAAAAAGATATAAAAGTGTTTTTCATGTTCACTGTAGGTAAAATGGAAAAGGAAATGAACTTGTATCTTCATCTGAGAGCTACAGATTAAATAATTATTGTAATCTTTGAGTTTGGGTTGTTGTTGTTACTTTACTTTTGGAACTTTGGATGAACATTTTCACAATTTTCTGATAGAACAAGAAAACAAATGACAGATTCTAGAATAATAAATATGTGCAAGTTGCTGTTATGTGAGATGTAGTGATCCTGGAACTAGTTCCACTCGCTGCCAGACGCCTTTTTATTTACATGATAAGAGATGCAAATGCTATTGTTTGCTAAAATAAAGATAAATAAAACAGACCTTATGTAAATTTCACCACTCCTTTTGGTTTTGGCTGGGGCAGTGGTTTAGGAGGCAAGACACATGAACTCCTACACAGTTACCCGAGTTATTCATACTTCAATCGGTCAAACTGTGTTTGTATGGAGGGGTGTGTTCGGATAAAAAATGATTTGCGGGCTGAGTTACCTTACACCTATATTAGGATGAAGTGTTTTTCAGAGCTTTGTATTTAATAAAATGGCAGAATATTTATTTTATGTTACTTTATTAAACCAACCCTTTCTCTTCTTTGTGATATCTAATTACCTGGTCTCATCCAGTCATCTAACCCACTGACTCTGACACTTTTTCTTTGTGTTTTGTGTTTCTGCAGTTTTTCTGAGTTGCCTTTGCATCTTTGACTCTTGGCTGACTGACTTGACTCCATCAGGGGATTTTATTGCCCTGCGCTTCCTGCTCTTTCTCAGCCAAACCTATGGAGCGGTGCTGCTGCTGACCGCACCTCTGATCGCTGTGGAGACTGTGATCAGACTCCTGTGGCCTTGTGTTGTCGTCCCTCTCAGGACAGCGAGGCGGACAGCAGGCTCTGATGGACAGTGTTGTGATGGGAAAGAGGAGGAAGAGGAAGACAGCAGCGGCTCAGATGAAGACATACGGTCTCATGTTGTCGGCTACCTCTGCTGCCTGTCAGTGTGGGTCATTGTCGCCCTCAATGTCAGGGGGCAATGGAAGCTGGAGGAAGTGTGGGCTGCTGCCTGTCTCCACACAAATAGCTCCCTTGTCAGATGTCTGCCCAGCCTCTTCAGCCCCATTCCTAGCGGCATAAATCTCTGCTGGTCCATGGGCTTCTTCCTCCTTCTGCTCCTGCTGACCACGAGCAGCACAGGCCTTCAAAGGAGACGCCAAGGCCATTCGCTGATGTTCAGAGTCTTCAATAAAGGCGACTGTCACTGCCAAGAACTCATTCCAGAGTCGTCTGCACCCCTCAAGCCTGTAAAACCAGGGATGTTGGTGTCTGAGCCAGCACAGCATGTTGACCCAGAGAAAACAGAGAGCAGCTGTACTGTTCATACAGCCTGGAACAGCTGGCAGATGTTGACATGCAACCATGGAGACTTTGTCCTTATTTCCCCAATGTGTTTGTCTGGAAAGAAGGGAAGTCAGGAGCAAGAAATGGCAAGGAGAGATGTATCTGTGGCATTTATCACAGAGGAAAACATGGACTCACAGTGCAGGAGCTGGTGTGGGTGGCGACAGTGGGGTTTTCCCAGCCTCGGGGTGAATGTAATGATAGGGTTGGTATGTGTGCTCTCCATATTTGCGCTGCCTCTCAACCTAAGCGTGAATGTTGTTCTCGTCAGGACTATTGAGACTCTGCTGGAGCTGTGTATCAAATCTGTACTTTCATCAAACATAGCGGCAAACACAAGAGACACGTCTACCTCTGGTGATGAAACACTCATTTAACGCCAAACAAATGGGGAGAGAAAGTGGAACCTGATTGGTCGCCGTTTGCAACACAGTCATCAGATTACAGCTGGCTTGGCTGTTAACACTGGCTTGAATAGAGCACAAATGCACATTTGCGTGCAGCTATTCACATGTGAGGAGTAATATGTGGAAACTGCTGATAGCTGTTGAGGAGGCAGGTTGAGGCGTGCTTGGTAGAAAGACACTAAAAACCTCGACTGGAACAGATGGCTGGAAGGCCTCTCCTTACTATTCAGAGCTTTGGGATCTGCCACTATTTGTCATTACCCAGTGGGTTACAAAACAAGCCACTCCAGTATAAATAAGACTAATACAGGCGCAAACACTGTTTTGAAAGTTATGAACGGGATGAATTAATATGAGTCTCCTGATGCTCCATCACATAATGCTTGTTTAAAGCTGCATATAAATAAATGCTGAGTGACTGCAGGGCACACCGGGAATTCTTTTGGTTTTCTTTGTAGGTTTGTTCCAAAGGATTCAACTGAAGCTGAAGTATGTGAACTTGAATACTTATTATTCAAGTTATTCGGAAGTTAACAATCACAATTGCGCATTGAAATAGAACAAATGATCACTTTATAAAAGCAGCGTGAAGCATTAAATCTGTGATTTCTGTTTCTTTGCCATGTTTCTGCTTTCTGTGACCTGTTAGCTGCTTACTTACTATCCACTTCACTAGGGACACCTGTTCAACTGCTCATTAACACCAATCACCAGTCAACTGGCAGCAACTCTATGCATTTAGGCTTGTGGACATGGTCTTAACAACCAACTGAAGAATGGGGAAGAAAGATCTGGGTGAACATGCTGGCGTTGTTGATGCCAGACAGGCTGGTCTGACAATTTCAGAAGCTGCAGATATGCTGGGATTTTCCCACTTAACCATAAGTATTTCTCCATAAAAGAGAAAATATAAAAAATGCTCCGAGGAGAATGGCCAGACTGCTTCAGCCTCTTGGGAACACTCAAAGAACATTACAACCAAGGTGTGCAGAAGAGCATCTCTTCTTGAACCTTAAAGCAGATGGGCTACAATAGCAGAAGACCACACGTGGTTCCAATCCTGTCAGCTAAGAACAGGAAACTGAGGCTATCATCACACAGGTTCCCCAAAATTGGACAATAAAAGATTGGTAAAATGTTGCCTGATCTGATCAGATGGTAGGGTCAGAATTTGGTGTTAATAACATGAAAGGTTGCATCCATCCTGCCTGGTATCAGTGGCTCAGGCTGGTGGTGAAGGTAAGTGTGAGGGATATCTTTTGGCACATTTTGGGTCACTTTGCATCATCTGAGTATCATTTAAACACCAAAGCGTACCTGAGTATTGTTTCTGACACACTGTACCCATCTTCTGATGGCTGCTTCAAGCAGGATAAAGCATCATGTCACAAGCTCAAATCATCTCAAACTGCTTTGTTGAACGTGACAATGAGTTCACTGTACTCAAATGGCCTCCACTGTCAACAGATCTCAATCCATCTCTGGGATTTTGTGGAACAACAGATTCACATCATGGATGTGCCGAAAGCAAATCCGCAGCACCCGTGTGATGCTGTGATATCAATACGGACCAAAACCTCAGAGGAATGTTTCCACCACCTTGTTCAATTAAAAATTTCAAAAGCATTGAACCCTGTAGTAGCAAGGTGTTTCTAATAAAATGTCCAATGAGTGTCTTCTTGTAATACTTATTTATGAGTAATAAGACCTCTTTTTATAGTAAATGCTTTTACTTTACCGGTATATATTTTTACTGACTACATTTTCAATGCAGGAATTTTGAAAATAATCAAATTTTATTCTGTTTAAATTTGTGCTTTTACTTAAAAACAGGCACAGAAATTATTTCCACTCTCGTTTCTATCCTTTAAGTTGAACATTAACTTTGCACAGACTGGAATAGGTACCTTTGCTCTTTCAAAAAGTACCAAAGAAGTACCATTCAGCCCCGCTAAATCTCTCTGACAGCTGAAGTTGTTCCCGTGTTACCTGTTTCTGTTGTTGGTGACTTGTTTGACTTTCATCTGGTTGTCTGGCAACAAGTCCCTGCAAAAACTAAAACCTGGCTCTTAAAGTCTGTGATTCTACAGAAGAATCTTCTTTTGTACGCATTGGCTAAACAAACCAAATGTAAGGTGTTATTAGTGAGGTTTAGAGATAACTGACAATAGGTTCTAGTTTCTTTTATATTAGTGGTGTCAAAGTCATTCATGTTCATGCCCCCCCGCTGGTTCTGGCCTGCAGGCTGTACACTTGACACCTCTGCTTTAGAAACAAAACTGACTAGGTCCTCTGGCAATATCTTCATATTTAACAGGCATGTATCCTGCTCAGAAAAGGTTATCGGGTTTTCCTGTCCAGACACATGAGACAGCACATTTCTCAAACCTTTAAAAAAAAAAAAAAAGGAAACCCAAAACAACTTAGGACCAGTTTCGCAAATGGTAGAGCCGCTTTAGACCAATAGGTCTCAAATTGTTCTGGCATGCTCTCTTTAGTTAGTTTTGGCGTTTCAGTGATTAAAAAAAATCCAAATGAAAGTTTTAGAGGAATAACTTTCAAATTAATCTTAATTTACTCCAATTTTGTGTGTCTTCTCTTGTCTCTGCACTTTATTGAGACATCTACAGTTCAGTCCATACGTTTGTGGACAGTGAGGCCTTTTTTTTGCTTTTGTACACGACTACAGACTATTTAAATCAAACAATCATCATGTGATTTAAGTGCAGACTTTAAGATTTAATTCATGTGACTGAGCAAAAGTTTTCCATCAACTGTTTAGGTGTTACAGACATTTTCAGTGGCTCAGAAATAATTGGATAATTAACTGACAGGCCATTTCGTGTTCAGGTTCCCTGGTTTTTTCATAACAAATGAAGCAGATGAATGAGCTGAAGTTAAATCCAAGTGTTGATCTTGTCAGTGAAAAGTGAAGAATGACATTTTCTGGCTGAAAAAAAAATGTGGAAAAACTTTAAGAGTTGCCAAATCATCAATCACATTCCTGAAAAGAAGGAATGCACCGGCCAGCTCAGCAGTATCAAAAGATCTGAAAGACCACAGTAAAGTGGATGATGACAGAATTATTTCCGTCTTTAAGAAGAACACCTTCATAACGTCCATTCAAGTCAAGGTGTATCTTTTTTTTTTTTTTTAGATCTACAATCAAGAGACGCCTTCATGTATGGAAATATAGACGGTTTACAACAAGGTGCAAACCACTGGTTACACTCAAAAACAAGGAGGACAGATTACAGGGTGGGCCATTTATATGGATACACCGTAATAAAATGGGAATGGTTGGTTTCATGAGTTATTTACAAGTTTCTCTTTGTTCACAGATGGGTGAACTCGTAGGGTGTCTGGCATTGAAATCTGCTGCAATGACCCGGTTACTGCGTTCACCAGATATCAACACAATTTTGATCCGCTCCTCACGTGTTAACCTCTTCAACATGTCAATGGCTGCGAACAAAGAGAAACTTGTAAATAACTCATGAAAGAATAAAGTTATGTTGAAACCAAGCACACCATTGTTTTTCTTGTGACATTACCAATAAGTTTGATGTGTCACATGGCCCTCTTCCTATTGAAAAAACAAAAGTTGTATCCAAGATGGCCGACTTCTAAATGGCCACCATGGTCACCACCCATCTTGAGGTGTTTGCCCCCTCACATATACTAATGTGCCACAAACAGGACTTTAATATCACCAACCATTCCCATTTTACGGTGTATCCATATAAATTGCCCATCCTGTAGATCAGACTTTGACAGAAAATATCTGCAGGAACCTGCACGGTTCTGTTCTTCAGAGCGATGAAACTAAGATAAACGTGTACCAGAATGATGAGAAAAGAAATAGATGGAGGGGGGAAACGGCTCATCTGAAGCCAGAGATCTGTCAAACATGATCGACATAGCGTTGTGGCATCGGCATGCATGGCTGCAGGGAACCAGGCTACTAGCGTTTATTTGATGATGATGATGATGATGATGATATATAGCAGCAGTCACATCATCACATCTGAAGTCTACAGATTCAGGCTAATGCTGAGTGCTTCGCAGTGCTAATGAATAATGACCCAAAGCATACTGCTAAAGAAAAGTAAAGAAGTTGGGCATATTCTTGAATGGCCAAGTCAGATAGCTGATCTCAATCCAGCAGTGTAGCTTTTTTCATTAAATGCAAAACTGGAGGCAGAGAGACTCACAAACAAGCAGCACCTTCAGCAGAACATCATTAACTGCAAAGGATTTTCATCCACGTAATAAAAACAATTAAAATTCTGCTAGTTTGTTCAATTAATTCTGAACATTTTGAGAAAATGGGGGACTATTTATAAAAAATACATTTAAAAAAGACTATAATTCCTGAACAATTAATGCTTTACTTTTGTCAAATACCTTGAATTAAAGCTGGAAGCCTGTGCTTCACATACTGACTCTTTGATTTAAAATCCCCTGCAGTGGTGTGCATAGACAAAATTAAAAACAAACAAACAAACAAACCAAATCTGTGTCACTATCCAAAAACTTAGGGACCAAACTATAGTTTATCTTCTGCTTTATCTTCTGACTTCTCTAGAGGAGACATGGAAACTATTTTCCCCCCTTTTACTACTGCTTCAGGTTTCTACTTCAACTATTTGCATAAAAAATGTCTGTGTTGTTCTTTTAATGATGAACAATTCAGATAAAAATTGACATGATGTAGCAACCAAAACTTAGGGAAACGTGCCAACACCAGGGGGCACTCTGCTACAACAACAAACCCTGACTTCGCTGTGTTCAGTGCTTCAGCATGTAACAGGAGAAGCATGAGGACGACTCAGGAAACAGGATGAAGGTGAATTAGGCTGTCTCCTCTCTGATTGAGCTAAATACCTTCGCACTGCTTCTTTTACGGTGTAGAGACTTGTGCTGACAAATACACTGACTCATGCAAGATTATACAAGAAGGTCAATTTCTCTGTGTGTCCGCTGTGGACTAAAGTTTGAGGAGTGCAGTGGAGAGGGTGTGAATGTGTGTGAAAGCGAGAGGGAGGATTTTTTTTTATTTTATATAAGTAGATGATGACATTTAATTGGAAAAGTTGCTTCAAATTTCCTCATTTCTGAAGTTTTTACTATTCAGTGCTGGAACTGTGATCTATGAGGAGGGTGGAAAGAACAACAGACTGTATTTTTATACAAGATTTGAGATAATTTTCTTCCTAATGGCGTAACATTTTATTGCCTTAACAAGACACCCACAAGTGTTTTATCTTCTCCCAGCTAGATGAGTAATCCTCTGCTTCACCTACACATAACTTAATTTTTCTTTTCTGTTTTTAATTTCTGAGACAGGATGAAGACAAGATTTTGTCATTTCTTTAATGAGCCCTGGAGTGTGTTTATCAACCAAAAGGGGGATACACAACTATCT